TTGCAAAGGAACAGGTGGTTGTAAAATGGAAGTTAAAAAAACACTGATTCAAAGGTCACAGGAGTCAAATAAGTTAAAAAAAAATATATAAATTACTTCTTCTGAATATCCAAAATGGCAAGGGTGATATTTTTGCAAGTAGCATGCTGGGATTAAGTGCTACTAACAAGTTTGTTCAAAGAACCACTTTCATCCATATTCAAGGTCACAGGGGCCAAATATGTTAAAACCTGTAAAAGACTTTTTTTCTGAAGGACCAAAAGGCCTAGGATGATGATATGCAATCAGTGACAGGCTCTGATAAGGAAGAAATACGAGGATTGTACTAATGAATGACCTTCACACATATTCAAGGTCACGGGTCAAATGTGTTAAACACTTTTTAAACATCTTCTGAATAACCAAAAGGCCAATGCCCGGGCTTCTTGTTAAATCAATGTTTCAAATCAGTAAGCCGTATAGAGAATGTTACTTCATCAGGTTCAGCACACGCTGTCGATTGAGCTATATAGCTGTAATTATATATATATAGTAGATAATAAATAAATAAGTCCTTGCGAAGGAAAATATAGAATAAAAACATATTTTTTTCAGATCGTCCGCTAGGCCTTTCTGCCTTCTAGGGCTTCTTCAGGCAGATTGATGTTCATTTATCACCGTTGGTTACATGACGTCATCAATATTTGTATAGCACTTTGTATACTTTTATATCATACATTATATAAACTATATATATATATATATATATAAAGACATATAATAGCTCTATTGACATATCTGAAATAGGTCTTTTGAGCTATTTTCATGTGATTTTCTTTTTTAAGGAAAACTACACAAAGTCGCTTTTAAAAGAAAATGTTATCATTGGGTCAAGAGAAAATACAAATATTCTTTTAAAAAAAAATGATGTAAAAAAAATCGGAAAATTTACATTTATGAAAAATGAAAATAAACATCTAAATGTATGCTTTTCGTAGTCAACATTACCATAAACCTAATGTTTATGCAACTTTGCTGTAATGTAATGAAAATTGAAATCTGAGAAAATATAGCTTAATACAGCTATAATTTATATGTGGATATACATGTAGCTCTCTATATATATAGATCTTTGTATTATAGCTAAATAGCTCAATCGGCAGATCTAGAGTGTTTTGGACCTGATCAATAAAGTAATGCTAGCACAATTTTGTGATCATTTACTTTTAATTAAATCTTTTTTTTTTTTCAAATTCAAACAAGTCGATATTCAAAAGTGTAATATATGTCAATTATACATTCTACTCAGGCATTTTATTATGAAAATAACCCAGAATACTGAAGTATTATTCAAAGTTAACAATGATAAAACTATGGTAAAAACTAAAGAAAGAAGCACTATACGACCCTTGAACATGTACAAGGCCATGACTGGTATCCAATTTACATGTGCAGTAATAATAATATGACTGCTGCTGCCTTCATGCATTACATAAGTAACTGGAAATCTGGAATAATGACGACCTAAATATAATTATTAGAAAAAATATAGATCTGACCCTGTTACTACGTAAACTTGTACTTTTATTTGTAACACACCACTGTTACTTTATAAATATCATGTTACTATTTGTAGCACACCCCTGTTACTTTATAACTGTGTTACTATATATATATAACATACATTCTGTTACCTACAGGATACATCTCGTGTTACTATATATATAACATACATTCTGTTACCTACAGGATACATCTCGTGTTACTATATATATAACATACATTCTGTTACCTACAGGATACATCTCGTGTTACTATATATATAACATACATTCTGTTACCTACAGGATACATCTCGTGTTACTATATATATAACATACATTCTGTTACCTACAGGATACATCTCGTGTTACTATATATATAACATACATTCTGTTACCTACAGGATACATCTCGTGTTACTATATATATAACATACATTCTGTTACCTACAGGATACATCTCGTGTTACTATATATATAACATACATTCTGTTACCTACAGGATACATCTCGTGTTACTATATATATGTACCCCTCCTGCTATATATGTACCATGTGTGATAGTGGTATTCCCCAGAGTACACAGCAGGGGGATCAATCAAGGTTTTAGGGGAATCTACCCTTTTTTCAGATTTGGGGGGAATACAAATTTTGATACAAGGCTCTAGCATCATGAAGGTAAAAGATATATGTATGTCCGTATATGTGCAGTATATTTCAATTTGTAAACAATTTTAAGCTTAAAATTGTAGAAATTTTGTTTGAATTATGTGAAGAAAATGTATATATGCAGTATTATGCAGTATTATGCATTTTAACTGTTGAACTCTAAAGAAAACATACAGTGGAAATATTTTGAAGAAAACCCGTTATTTTCTTGTTGAAATAGGGGAATTTTGAAGCTCATAGGGGATATTTCAAAGAACATGGGAATTTTCTGCCGTAGGGAAAACTACCCATACACCGTTACATGGTAGTGAATCAAGCGTACATTTATACACTACCATAGTTGTGCTAGTGGTACCCCCCAGTGTACATGTACACTACCATAGTTGTGGTAGTGGTACCCCCCAGCGTACATGTGTACACTACCATAGTTGTGCTAGTGGTACCCCCCAGTGTACATGTGTACACTACCATAGTTGTGGTAGTGGTACCCCCCAGCATACATGTGTACACTACCATATGTGTGTGGTAGTGGTACCCCCCAGCGTACATGTGTACACTACCATAGCTGTGGTAGTGGTACCCCCCAGCATACATGTGTACACTACCATATGTGGGTGGTAGTGGTACCCCCCAGCATACATGTGTACACTACCCTATGTGTGTGGTAGTGGTACCCCCCAGCGTACATGTGTACACTACCATAGTTGTGGTAGTGGTACCCCCAGCTTACATGTGTACACTACCATAGTTGTGGTAGGGGTACCCCCCAGCATTCATGTGTACATGTACATACCATAGTTGTGGTAGTGGTACCCCCAGCTTACATGTGTACACTACCATATGTGTGTGGTAGTGGTACCCCCAGCATACATGTGTACACTACCATAGTTGTGGGAGTGGTACCCCCCAGTGTACATGTTTACACTACCATATGTGTGTGGTAGTGGTACCCCCAGCGTACATGTGTACACTACCATATGTGTGTGGTAGTTGTACCCCCAGCGTACATGTGTACACTACCATAGTTGTGGTAGTGGTACCCCCCAGTGTACATGTGTACACTACCATATGTGTGTGGTAGTGGTTTCCCCAGCGTACATGTGTACACTACCATATGTGTGTGGTAGTGGTACCCCCCAGCGTACATGTGTACACTACCATAGTTGTGGTAGTGGTACCCCCAACTTACATTTGTACACTCCCATATATATATGTGTGTGGTAGTGGTACCCCCCAGCGTACATGTGTACACTACCATAGTTGTGGTAGTGGTACCCCCAGCGTACATTTGTACACTCCCATATGTGTGTGGTAGTGGTACCCCCCAGTGTACATGTGTACACTACCATAGTTGTGGTAGTGGTACTCCCCAGCGTACATGTGTACACTCCCATATGTGTGTGGTAGTGGTACCCCCCAGTGTACATATGTACACTACCATAGTTGTGGTAGTGGTACCCCCCAGTGTACATGTGTACATTACCATAGTTGTGGTAGTGGTACCCCCCAGTGTACATGTGTACACTACCATAGTTGTGGTACTTCCATTCATAACTTAATCCCAGCTAGTGTCTTGTCCTGTGTGATATATCTTGGGATTGCCTCAGGCTGTGAATTTGTTACAGCTTATAATGGAATGTTAAGTATGTGAGCCTATAGCTACCACTATAACATGTTCATCTAAGAGGCCCAGTCAAGGGAAGTACACATTAGCCATCAGCTGAGTACTTGTTTTCCAGTTGGTTTCATTAAGAATAACCAATTTTATATTTATTTTTTGTTGTTTTGACAATTTTTCATTGAAACCACTATTTTGCATACCCATAGATCTCTATACAGTACTATTTTTTACCTGAGCAAAGCTCAAGTGACCTATTCCGATCACTTTCCGTTAGTCGTCGTCCGTCTTGTGTAAACTTTTTACATTTTCAACTTCTTCTTAAGAACCTGTGGATGGAATTTTTTGAAACTTGGTCAGAATCATCCTTGGTAGATGAGGCTACAAAATTGTAAAATTGGGATTCCTACCCCAACCCCTGGGGCCAGGGTGGGGCCCCAAAGGGAAAATTAACCAATACTTCAAAAATCTTCTTCTCCAGACTCAGAGGTACTACAGTCATTTTGTCTGCATGGATGGAAAGATTATCAGGGGCTTTATTTAAATTGTAAATTTCAGGACTCCCTAGCTATCCTTCTCCATGGGGAGGGGCCGAGGTAAAGGTTACTATAGTTTATATAAGGAAATAACACTATTGGGTATATTTTATCCATTTTTAGCAGAAAATTATTCAAACTTGGTCAGAATCATCTTTGGTGGATGAGGGTATACATATTACATTGTAAAATTGGAATTCCTGTCCCATCCCCAGGGGCTAGGGTGGGGCCCCAAAGGGAACATTTACCAATATTTTAAAATACTTATCCTTTGATGACATAACAAGTAGTTTCACTAAGAAGTTTCACTTAGTTTTCATGCTGATTTCCACATCACATTTAAACAATAAAATAAAGCTACCAGTACCTATAATATAACTCAGGTGACCGCTAAGGCCCTTGGGCCTCTTGTTTTATCAAGCCTGAATTGTTTAAAAAAAAAATCATGCCAGATAAAACAGATATTGTTAATTTTAATTGATCAGTAGTATAACAGTAAGGTTGGTTCTTTGGAAATTGGAAAGTTATTTTAGATAGAATATGAAATATGTATGAAACTATTCATATTATTTAATTTATTAACCAATAAGAGTGAGTTAACATTTGGAACTGTAAAATTAGTGTTAACCATTCCTATAGGATGTGATGTTATTTCAGATTTACAAAGCCCCAGACATTTGCGGACTGTGTGGGTGACCAGCTTCCCTATGGATGGGAACAATGTATAGACGAGCACCTGGGTCCTTACTTCATCAATCACCTAAATCGTAAGTAATATCAACAACCTAAATCGTAATATCAGCAACCTGAATAGTAAGCAATATCAACAACCTAAATCCTATATCAGCAACCTAAATCCTATATCATATACCTAAATCCTATATTAACAACCTGAATCGTTAGTTATATCAGCAACTTAAATCGTAAGAAACATCAACAACCTAAATCGTAAGTAACATCAACAACCTAAATCGGTAGTAACATCAACAACCTAAATCGTAAGTCATATCAACAACCTAAATCGTAAGTAATATCAACAACCTAAATCGTAAGTAATATCAACAACCTGAATCGTAAGTAACATCAACAACCTAAATCGTTAGTAACATCAACAACCTAAATCGTAAGTCATATCAACAACCTAAATCGTAAGTAATATATCAGTAACCTAAATCGTAAGTAATATCAACAACCTAAATCGTAAGTAATATCAGCAACCTAAATTGTAAGTAATATCAACAACCTAAATTGTAAGTAATATCAACAACCTAAATTGTAAAAAAACATCAACAACCTAAATTGTAAGTAACATCAACAACCTAAATCGTAAGTAATATCAACAACCTAAATCGTAATATCAGCAACCTGAATAGTAAGCAATATCAACAACCTAAATCCTATATCAGCAACCTAAATCCTATATCATCAACCTAAATCCTATATTAACAACCTAAATCGTAAGTAATATCAGCAACTTAAATTGTAAGTAACATCAACAACCTAAATCGTAAGTAATATCAACAACCTAAATCGTAATATCAGCAACCTGAATAGTAAGCAATATCAACAACCTAAATCCTATATCAGCAACCTAAATACTATATCATCAACCTAAATCCTATATTAACAACCTAAATCGTAAGTAATATCAGCAACTTAAATTGTAAGTAACATCAACAACCTAAATCGTAAGTAATATCAACAACCTAAATTGTAAGTAATATCAGTAACCTAAATCGTAAGTAACATCATCAACCTAAATCGTAAATAATAACAACAACCTAAATCGTTAGTAACATCATCAACCTCAATTGTAAGTTATATCAACAACCTAAATCGTAAGTAACATCATCAACCTAAATCGCAAATAATATCAACAACCTAAATGGAAAGTAACATCAACAACCTAAATCGTAAGTAATATATCAGTAACCTAAATCGTAAGTAATATCAACAACCTAAATTGTAAGTAACATCAACAACCTAAATCGTAAGTAATATCAACAACCTTAAGTGTAAGTAATATCAACAACCTAAATCGTAAGTAATATCAACAACCTTAAGTGTAAGTAATATCAACAACCTAAATCGTAAGTAATATCAACAACCTTAATTGTAAGTAATATCAACAACCTAAATGGTAAGTAACATCATCACCCTAAATCGTAAGTAACATCAGCAACCTAAATTGTAAGTAATATCAGCATTCTAAATTGTTAGTAACATCAACAACCTAAATCGTAAGTAATATATCAGTAACCTAAATCGTAAGTAATATCAACAACCTAAATTGTAAGTAATATCAACAACCTAAATCGTTAGTAACATCATCAACCTCAATTGTAAGTTATATCAACAACCTAAATCGTAAGTAACATCATCAACCTAAATCGTAAGTAATATCAACAACCTTAATTGTAAGTAATATCAACAACCTTAATTGTAAGTAATATCAACAACCTTAATTGTAAGTAATATCAACAACCTTAATTGTAAGTAATATCAACAACCTAAATTGTAAGTAATATCAGCAACCTAAATCGTTAGTAACATCAACAACCTAAATCGTAAATAATGTCAACAACCTAAATTGTAAGTAACATCAACAACCTAAATCGTAAGTAACGTCAGCAACCTAAATTGTAAGTAACATCAACAACCTAATTCGTAAGTAATATCAACAACCTAAATGGTAAGTAACATCAACAACCTAAATCGTAAGTAACATCAGCAACCTAAATTGTAAGTAATATCAGCATTCTAAATTGTTAGTAACATCAACAACCTAAATCGTAAGTAATATCAACAACCTTAATTGTAAGTAATATCAACAACCTAAATTGTAAGTAATATCAGCAACCTAAATCGTAAGTAATATCAACAACCTAAATTGTAAGGAATATCAACAACCTAAATCGTAAGTAATATCAACAACCTAAATCGTAAGTAATATCAGTAACCTAAATCGTTAGTAACATCAACAACCTAAATTGTAATTAATATCAGTAACCTAAATCGTAAGTAATATCAGTAACCTAAATCGTTAGTAACATCAACAACCTAAATTGTAAGTAATATCAACAACCTAAATCGTAAGTAATATCAGTAACCTAAATCGTAAGTAACATCATCAACCTAAATCGTAAATAATATCAACAACCTAAATCGTTAGTAACATCAACAACCTAAATCGTAAGTAA